TCAAAGCTTTATTGATCAAGAACTAAAAAAAATTACAGAGTCAAGGACTGTTGTCTCAGATAAAGTGATTCCACCTTTGGTAAGAGAATCTGTCAAACCATTGGCCCCATGAAAGATATAAACAAAAGAGCAAAGGACAGATCTAGTTAAGTCCAAAATTTCTAACAATAGAGATTGGAGATCCCAGGATGGTTTTTGCTCCAGCTTACACCATTTAATGGCATTAAGAGAATCCCCTTCCACCAGACAAGGCGCGCCAAAATTTCTAGCAGTGAATAATTTCAGCCCATGAAGAAGAGCCATCATCTCTGTACAATTAGCAGGTTTAACACCCAAAGGTCCAGCATAAGAAAGGATCACTGCTCCATTCCAATCTTTCACCACACCAAAGATCACTGCTCCATTCCAATCTTTCACCACACCTCCAAATCCAATAGGACCCAGGTTTCCTAGAGAACTCGCATCAAAATTGAGTTTGAAAGCCCCAAATAAAGGTGGTGTCCATCTCCCCTGAGGCTTGCATGTAAAAGGTTTTAATTGAACGATGTTTGAAAAATTCCTTCTCACATCCATCTCAAGAATATCTTTACCTACTTTTGTAATAGAGCAAGATAGCCAAACGGAATGTAAGATCTTATCCAACACACAGCCAACAGACACTCAAATCCCATCAAACACCTTTCTATTTCTCTCCTTCCAAACCTCCCACAGAATAATGCCTCTCGAATTTTGCCATAAAACCACACTAGTTGGTGGCAGCCACCGAACTATTAAATTTGAAATAATCCCTTGTTCAGCCGCACGCATTATCATAGTACTACCCAATTGGACAAAAAACCAATGCCAAATTTGTAGTGTAAAAGGGCAACGCAAGAACAAATGGGCCCCTGTTTCAGTATCATTCTTGCATAATAAACAGATATTTGGCAAAATCTTACATCGTTTGATGAGATTATCAACCGTTAGTACCTTATCTTGCACGGCCGGCCACAAAAAAGCTTTGACCTTGGGTGGTACAGGCTATTTCCACACTCCTGCAATTTTCGGTATAGGCCATCTCCATCGGTTATGAAAGAGCAAATTACACATAGATTTAACTGAGAAAACTCCATTGTAAGCATGCTCCCAAATTACCTCATCTGAGCCAATTTGCAGGATATAGACTTCTTGTAAGAGGGCAAGCAGTTGAACATATTCTTGAAAACCACTTCGGAGATTCTATTATAGGGAAGGACAATATTTCAATCAACCTGATTTCCTCTAAAGACAAAGATGTCAACGACAACACCATCAAAATTTTCTATACGCTAGTAAACCAAAAGAAACAAATACTTAAGTGGGGAGTCACCAATCCATTTATGATGCCAAAAGGTAAATAGTCACATTGTATACAATCCCATAACATTATACATAATTTAGATATGTGAATGGTCTTGTGCAATGCTGTGTGGCTCCAAGTGAAGAATTACTAAGATAACTAACTGTGAGAGAGAGCTCTGGGGTTTCAGAGGGCTAAGAGGTCTATCTGAGGGTGCGAGAGAAAGGTAGAGGGGGGGTTGAGCCTCATTCATAGAGAGGGAGAGGGTTGGGGCTTGGGCTTTGTGAGGGTTTCAGAGACAGATACAGTAGGGTCAGGGGTGGTTTCAAAGAAGGCTTCTACAAAGATTTAAGAGAGAGAGAGAGTGAGGGCTTCAGGGACGGACTAAGGTCGGGGCTGGGGGTAGTCCCATTTTGAAATTTAAAGGACAATACTAATTAGTACATCTATGTATGAAAGATAAGTGATCTCTTTATAGATGATCCCCAAATTTATATTTATATTCGTTAATAATCAAATATATATGACACAGTTTTCACATGAGAATATTTTCGGGAAATTTTTTCGTACTTACCAAATAAGCCCTAATTGTTATACTATTTTTCTCACAATAACTATTTTTGGATTACTTTTATTGAACATTTAAAAAATCAGAATTAGATATTGGATCCTCACTTTACTGTACCGATTTGGATAGGTAATTTCTTATCTAGATCATTTATTTTTGGGGGCCTAAATATATTAAAAAATAAAAGAATAATATCCTGGCTTGTTAATATGGATCCCCACTTCCACTAACATAAACGGCTCTATGCAATTTCTATCCAATTAAACCAAATCTCGATTCCACAATTGATTGTTTGTTGGATCAATCCGATTCTCGATCAGGATCATTGATTTTTAATCGTAAATGTATATGATAAGGCCGTTTAACTTTTGAACAAGGTGACAATTACTTTTGTCTAATAAATTTAATTGGATAACTGAAAAGGTTTCATTTATCAAGCTCAAAGTTAAAAAATAGTAAATTATGTGTGATCGTCTAATTTGATCTTTGATGCTTAGGATTAATTGTCACCTCCTTATTTCAAAGATAAATAGTCTTATAATATACAACCCCTTTCTAAGATCCGACTGTCCCTAAATAGGAGTGGCAATGGATGCAGACGCGTCTCAAGACCCAAGGGATAGACTCAATTCGGGTCCAGGTATCGGTCCAAAAGTTGAATCCAGCTGATCGCGTTCAAGTTGAAATATTGGACCCAGACACTATGCCGGTCCAGGTCTGGTAATATATTTTGGATCACAATATATGAAATATATTTAAATATAGTTAAACACATAAATTTTAATTTTTGAGTCGCGTCTACTTCTTTGGGTCAGTACAGACCGAACCCGACCCGAAACAGAATGGGAATTTACCACGGCCCAAAAAGGAGGATTTGTACGGCATATTTTAGCGAGCAATCGAATTCGTGTTAAAGGCTCAATAAAAGTGCTGGCTCTTAGGATCTGAATTGGAGATTTTCTATGCCCTAAACTGGTAATGTTTCACTAGATCCTCAACTTTACCATAGCTTGGGCTTTCTTCTTCTTGATTTTCTTTGTAAAATCTCGTTCGTGAATTCTTTCTGGTGTGTTCTTGGAGAAAAAGCTTTCTTTTGCATGGTGGAAAACCGTTCAGAAATGGATTTTATTGGCGTGTGTCTCCCGATTTCTGGAAGAAATGTTTGTCTTGGTCATCTGAATTACTTCGATTCTGATATGGGTTTTCGTTGGTTTTGATTATGGAAATTTGGGGGGTGAATTCATTAACTGGTGATTGGATTCGACGTATCTGAATTCGCAGAAACCGGGTTTTTATCTTTTCCTATTGAATATCTGAAGTTGCAAATTTGGGGTTTCTTTTTCCTGAAATTTGCAGAAATTGGGTTCCTTTGTGGTTTCTATGTCCCCCACCTTTTCAAGGTGTGGTGGGATTTGTATTTTGGGCTAAGGTTGAAGAAATCCAGGCCTTGGAAAGCTTCAGGCGATTTTCTAGGATTTATTTTCGGGGGGCTTAGTCGAAGGGTTAGAGTCATGTTCTATGGGGCAGTAGTTTGGGACCCTTGGCTTATTGTTGCCCAAATTGTGTGTCTTCAATGCCTTTACTATATGACTCTTGGGTTCTTCATATGGGTTCTTGTTGGGGCAAGAGTGCCTCGCCTTACCCTTGTTTACTTCTTCGATTATTCTGCACTTAATGCTTCAACTGTGACCGGTTGGTGCGTTATTGCATCGTTTCTCATGAGCGCGTTCTCTGGGTAACGGCATTGCATTTCTTTTCTGCCTACCTTTTGGTGGTTGAATTCTCTGTCTGTTAATAGTTTCTGTTATTATTATTGTTATCAATAATGATGAATGCTGAGTATTTTCTAATTTCTGATATGTAGATTGCTTTTTTGGTAGATTTGAGCGTTGATTAGCAGTTGACATGATCAGTATTACAAAATGGGTTGTTTTTGTGATTTATTTGTATTGTTGGTATTGCCATGTAGTATAAGACATACATGTTTTGTTGTAAATCATCCTTAGAAATGTATTGCAACAAGATTTGTTGGCCAGCTTTGTAGTTGGTTAAGTATAGTTGGTTTTTACTGGTCATCCAATGTGTAGTATGATATATTGCATTCAATTTTGGCAAAAATTTATCTGAATTATAAATACAACTTGTCTCTGTGCGAACCACAGGACTACATAGTTCAGAGATGAGCTGGGTAGTTGAACTGCTTTTGGAGTTTACACAAGAATTTTGACCAATATCTATCTTACGACATTGTTTGGAACCCTGTTAAGTGTTGACCCAAATCTAATGCTAGCAAAAGCATGGGGTTTTGGTAAGGCTGCGGCTTTATGGAATTTGGTAAAGCTGAATCTCAATAACTGCAGGACAACCTGGTTTTGTCACCGTAAACCTTCATATGGCCTGAAAATTCCTTTGTATGAGGGATTTGAATCTCAAAAAATGGTGTCAATCTTGAGGATTTGTGAATAGTTTACATGGGCAGTGTGCCATTTTTAAGGCTTGAAATCCATAGATTTTTTATATCCATGATTATTGAGGTGGAGATGATCGACTTGAAGGATATGGATACAGGCGTATAAAGCCGAGGCTTTACAAAATACTTCTCTGTAACAAAAAGAGTGTAATTTTGACAGTCCTTTGGTTCTTATCACTTTCTTTTACAGGTTCACTTGAAAACCACCCATTTCGTTAAAAAGCTAAGGGTCTGTTTGGATGGCAGGTAACTTTCTTGGATGAGACTGTTCTATCTAAAATCAGTACATATTCTGGATAATATTTTATTATTGTTACTGTCAAACAAGGGAACCGGCTGCCCCAGTTTCCCTTTTCTCATTGGGATGCTCTCTGCAGTTCTGTTTAATGAATGGTGGGTAGTGCCGAGGGAGTAGATGTAGAACCTACTCCTGCGGGAGCACACTATGCGCACACTTTATGATTTATTGGTACTGTGTCGATTAATTGCTTCCAATTGGCTCTAGAGAACTTAACTGTATCCTTTTAGGAGTCAGAGCATCGGTTTTGACTTATAGAAAATAGTTTGCCAGTTCATTCTGTTAGCCTATCACAGAATATAAGTTTACAAATTTAGTTAATGGTAGATTGAGGCAAAGCTTCAATCAATATTTGGAGCTGCTGTAATTTGCTTCTCAATCATGTCCTTATACATATTGTGCAACAATACCTCTGAAATTATATTGTCCACAATGAATAATGCTTTGGAACTTCTTGAGAATGCAAAATAATAGAGATAACACTTTGATACCATGTTAAGATAAGTGAAAGGGAACAGGGACAATGATAACCTTACTGACAAAGGAAGTCAAAGATTTCAATAATAAGAAATCTGGGGCTTGATCATGGATGAAGCTCTTCCAATAACACTGCTATCTTCTGATAATTAAAAACTAATATTTTGTGGATTACTTGAATATCACCAAATATGGGATCACCTTCTTTCTGTAGGTTGACACATGAGTTATATTTATTTTTGTCTCTCATTTCTTATAGAATTTTTTTTAAAAAACATGTATGTCCATCTTTATGTATGGGCAGGGTTCCCATGTCTGATCACGTCTTAAGAGTCCAAGGTATGAATGATTGAAGTTCTAGGAGTATTTTGGGTTTCTACGTAAGTGTAACATGGTAAGGGCCCTTGTACTTATCAAAAAGAAAACAAGCCTTGAGGGACTGAAGGTTTAAGTCCCTAATTTACATTAGAGGCTTATTATTTGTAAATTTCTTGAGAGATTGTTCTCACAATATAATGAAATCAACATGAATGCTCATGTTGTAGTGGCTTCAAGTTTTGTCCCCTACACATTCTACTGCAAAACTAGAAATCCTCCACTTCTCTGATCTGTTTTTATTTTATCCTCTATTTGAGATTTGTGTTTCTAAGGAATGTGGGTCATTAGCCATTTTCTTCCAATCGAACCTTCTTTTGCGTTGTCACCCTCTTATCTGTTGAATTTGTTTTGATTGCTTTTGGGGCTGCTTTCAAGGCTATTGAGGAAGGCAGGCATGAGTTAGGCCCATTAGTTTCTCATATGTCATATCTTGACAATATTAATGGTGAATCACCTACAAAAAAAAGATATGGTGCATCCGGATATGTGCATTATGTTGTCATGAAGATGAAGAAACAGTGTATCATCGCCTTATATGCTTTAGGCTTGAGAGGGCAATGTGGGCTATTGTCTTATACTTATTTGGGGTGATTTCTGCTACCTCGGCTTCTGTTGCCATCCTTTTCTTGGTGTGTATGTCTATGCCACACCTTGGGCAGGAATAGGTACATTTGCAATTGTGTATGCCTTCTTTTTTTTTTAATACAGTTAACATTGAATTAAGGGGGAGAAATGGAACACACTTGCTGATGATGATGTGCCATGTCACCGTGCAGCCTTTGAGGATGTGATCTTTTTATCTCTCTTGGTACTCCTGTCAGATGCATGTGCTTGTTTCTTACTACAATTAAAGTTTCATTGTGTACAAAAAAAAAATCTTCATGGAGTGACATGTCTTATCTTTTGTAATGTACAGTTTGTACTTGACTTTGGAATCTTCTCTGTTTATATACACATAACCACAAGATCTTTGTTCTCAAACTGTGCATGTGAATGTTTTCACTTGATATTTGTATGTATGTGCAGACATACAACTACCCATTGAACCGGTTAAGAGTTTGGTCTAGTCAAAATTTGTCCAATCACTACACAAACCGGTTAGACTGGATTTCAAAAAAAAGAAAAAGAAAGAAAGAAGGGATATAATAGTTTAAAAGCATAAAATATATTAAAAAAATTTCCCAACTTCATTTAGATGGTCGAGCCGCATAAAATAATCGGCTGGTCTAACTGGTCAAAACTAGCCAAACAACGGTTTTGACTGGTTTTTTATTATACTTTTTTTTTTACTTTGACTAGATTGGCCAAGGCACCAGTCGCAATCCAACCTGTCGGGCCACTGGTTTGGTCTAGTCTTGGTTATTATGGGTAGATGGATAGACATATACATGTGTATGCGTGAATGCCAATGGTTCCAAACTTAAAACAAAATAATGTAATTTTTTTTTTATTTATAATTATGACAACTTTGTTCCACTGATAGTTGACTCGTTGATTACTTGGACAATGTTTTGTAGTATAGTAACCTCTTTATTTTACTGCTTCTTGAACAGAGCTGGTTATATGCTTCTATTGATTGAGAGGGCTAAGAAATGCCTAGATTTTTCAGCCACCCTCTTCATTATCCATCTCTTTATATCTATCATATATGGGGGCTGGCCTTCTTCTCTTACATGGTGGGTTGTTAATGGAACTGGTTTAGCGGTGATGGCCTTGCTTGGGGAGTGGCTGTGTATTAGACGTGAGTTGCGGGAAATTCCCATCACACGACTGCGCTCAAGTAAGTAAAACCTTTCCTCTTTTGATTATTATATGCTCTCTCTCTCTCTCTCTCTCTCTCTCTCTCTCTCTCTCTCTCTCTCCCCTGCCCATAACCATCACGAATCCCAAACATATCTAAGGGGATCCCCGGTCGAAATGGTTCATGAAGTATGGGGATCCCCAGCGAAAATGGTTAGTGATATTGCTAAAGAAAATCATTCTTCCCAATATAGACATACAGATTAAGTGTTTCGAAACTTGGAACGATTAATGCATATGCTTGAACACTTCATGCCATTTTGTTCGGTTGGAGGAAGAACAAGGTCAGTTTTGGGTTTTCAATCAGTTTGGGGTTCATTGAGAGAAGCGTAATTCTTTTGATAAGAAATGAGATTTTCTAGAGAATCCAATGGGGTATGGTGCACTCAAAGCCCCACTCGCGTCATTACCATTTGATGAGATGATGGATTTTTTTGAGAGGAATTATGATCCTCCATTCATTTTTGAAAAGACAAAAAGTGGGATTCACCATTTATGTCCTCTTCACTGAGAAGCGTACTTTGTATTTGTCCAGCAAAGGTCAATCCTAGTGCCATGTTGGTTTTCTCTGGAAACAAGGGCCAACTTGTAGAATCATCTGGATAGTAAAAGTGGTTTAGTTGTTACTTTGATGGCGGCAATCCTGAAATCTTTTTGTGCTAATGTTGGTTGGGATCAAAGTTGTTAGGTTCATAGGTTGGGGATTATTGTTCAGATGAAGTAGAGAGCTTCAAAAGGCAAGGACTCTTTTAATAAGTTTCATGCAAGGACTCTTTAACGAGTTCAAAGTGAGTACAGAAGGAAAGTAATGGTCTGTTCCTTTTGTACTCACTTCAAACCAGTCCCAAAAGGAAAGTAAGGAGGGGGACTGGAAAGCCACATGGCACCTCAAAAAGGAGGACTCTTTAACTCTCTATTAAACTAAAAGTGAGTACAAAAGGAAAGTAAGGAGGGGACTGGATACCCACAAATGGGTTCTGCCCAAAAAAATAGGCTACCCACAGAAAGGTGCCCTATACAAAAGCCTAGAAAGGCAAAAGAAAAGTTTATATACTGAAATTCTTCACCCAAAGCTTATATATTGAAATTTCTACATAGGTAGCTCCTTTCGCCATATGACACTCTTTTATCTGATCTATCAAATGACAGATAGAGAGAGAGTCCCCTCTTCGGTTGCCACTAGGCACGGCTTCTCCCACTGTCGAATTATAGACCCTAAGAACCTAAAGTCGCATAAACTCATTATTTCGGTGTTTTTTTGTCCATCCAGAGAAGATGGAATATATGTTTTTTTGCATGGACATATACTTGGGTTTCAGACATGGGCTTAAAAATAGTCATTGTTTTGTTTAACCTGAAGTCTGATTCTAACAGATATCAACTAGAAATAGGGTTCCACTTGCCCAATCACGAATTTTGCATTCATGTTACTCATGTCAATACTTTTTTATCCCGAGAGAGAGAGAGAGAGAGATAGATCCGGCCATGTTCTAATTTATGTTGTTCTATTAGCATTATCTGTTGCGTTTCATATGAAGATTTTAAATCTGAAAATCAGTGTGTTTTGGGTGCAGATGTGTGATGTTTTTTCAGCAAAGCATGCCAATGGCTGGAGTTGATCAGTGTGTGGGGATCATTTCTTAGAATCTTAGTCTCAGAGGCCAGTTCAGGTTGAGTTACTTTCTCGGTGAAGTTCTTTGAAGCCGGTTTCCATGGTGAATCGCTATTTGCCATCTTGATTAATGCTATACCATTCTTTTCTATCGAATGAATGGCCTGAAGCCTCTGTAGATCATTTACTCCAGTGATTGGAGAATGATTGAAATGATTTTGCTGTTATGATGGTCTATCTCACTCACGCTTTAAAATGTTTTTTTGCGGTTATGATGCTCTCTCTCTCTCTCACACGTAACAAAAATATAAATTTTTTTTTTGCGGGTATGTACATCTTATTGAGATGCATTTAATAAAAATATAAAAAAATTTATTCATAAAAAATAGATTAAAATACTCTCAAAATTTTTTAAGGGTATTTTAGTTAATTTTTTTATGTTAAATATTTTTTTTATAATTTTCGAAGATTTTTTTATTTTTGATGAATACACGTTTAAAATTTCAGGTTATTTCGATTTGTAAGAAAAAAAAAAAAAAAAAATACTACGAGGTAATTGTGACCGCATGATGAACTTTGTACAGTGATGAAGGTAGGCGAAATCACCGTTGATTTTTGCTTGTACTCATCTGTTGCTGGTACATCTCTTTGAAAAATGACTCGCAATGGGTTTTTGTATTTCTCAAATTTGTCTAAGCAACATACATTTTTGTCGTTACAAAAAAAAACCATATAAAAGGCGGCATCCGAGCTCGTTATGTTTGCCTAATGTCTGACGGTAGGGAGAGAGATATGTTCGAAAAAGCCCGCCGCCGCCCCTGCCGACAGATTATTATGGGTAATCCTTGAAGTTGGAAGAGATGGCCAAAACGGCCTCGGCCACCGTTAGATACAAAGAATCCGACTGAAATGCGTCCATTGCTGGGGAACATTGGAGCTTCACCATCACATCTCCTACTGGGTTGGCCAGCACAAGCTGTAAGACAATGAAACACAGGAAAATAATGTTACCCACATCATCCAGAGTGAGAGAGAGAGAGTACTCTTTTTGTCTGTCTGTAGAGAGAGAGAATTTGTATTGGGTGTGTTTGTAGAGAGAGAATTTGTATTCTTTTTCTGTGCAGAAAGAGAGAGAGAAAGAGATCACCTGAAGCGATTTTTTGTGCAATGTTTTCTTGAGCTCAGCAAGAAAATTGATACCGCTGGTGTCGATTGCGGTAACGGCTGCAAAATCCACCAGTTAAAATCTTCTTATAAGGAAGGGAATTACCTCACATTAATTTTCATGTAATTATAAGAATAAACAAATAAATAAGGGGTTATGTTAACTATAAAGGGTTATGTTAAGGTGCGCACACTATGAAATAATTTATCATTATATTCAACAATTTTGAACTTTTATATGTCCTTGTTTTGTACTAATAAATGTTTTGTACTAATAAAGAGACTTTTGGTTATTTAGAGATATGTTATTTCATTCACATGGAGTGCGACATTAGTGATGTCACATTAAATACATTTTACTAAAAAGAAATTCTATATACAAAACAAGGTATATATATGTCATAATTTCGTTGAGTATAATAATAAATTACTTCATAATGTGAGTATTCGAACATAACTCATAAATTAATGCGACAAAAACAATAATTGATATTTACCTGTCATATCTAATATGACACATTTGAGGGTGAGGTCCCTACTGTTTTTAATTCTATCTTCCTCTTCTTCTATCCATCTGTTGATCCTGCCAATTTTCAAATTATCCCAATATTAAGAAAACAATGGAAGATAAACTAACTTTTGTAAATGACTAGTGGGAAATTTAAATTACTTATTTTTTATAAACATCTGTTTTTTGGTTAAATTCACAAATTCTTTATTACGTTATACAATCAGTTTGCAGAACACTTATGTTAATGAAAATCATAAGAGGAATAATTAGCAATAGAGAGGGCCATAAATTTTATGCTTATGCTGGACTACACTGTCTGTTTACTCCTAAGACTCCATACAAGATTAGTTTTAGAACTGGAATTTTGGGGATGTAGCCACTTCCTCATAAACCAACCTCACTAAAAGAAACTTTCTAATTGCACCCTCTATGCACTTGAAGAAAATTATGTGAGATTGAATAGAGACCGTCCAATTTTCGGCAAGGTCTAAGCATCAATAAACTCAAAATTTAAATTTCAAATTGAAAAAAATCCACAAGTAGGTTTTCTGACCGAGAGAGTAGATGTACACTTTGCTCCCGTAGCAGCATAGTACACGCGCTCGAGAAAAGAATATAATTTCAATTAACTTTATGAAAAGAGGCAATATTTTTTATGTCAATAAGTGGCATAAGGTACGAGAAATAATATCTGGAAAAATAAAATATTGTGATATAAATTGTTTGGAAAGTTCTGTGTCGGGGGACGCATCCTACATTTGCGTCGCTTTGAGGCATAAAACATCCATCTTGGATAGATGCAAATGGGTGGTCTCAAAAAAAGAAAAAAGAAGAAGTTAAAACTGATGGTCTAAAGTTTTCTTCATAAATTATCATTTTTAGTTTTAAAATTTTTATTTATTTTTACATATTTGTGATCTCCAAGCTACTGATGCATTTCTAAAATTGTAAATTTTTTATAAAAGGTTGATAATTGATACTATAGAATTAAGGTGCACTTCAAAAATTCATCGAAAAAGGTTAGTTTGACATTAGAAAACTATCTAATTGATCATTTCAACATTGCGATGCATGAATACAGAAAAAAGAAGATAAAGTCCCAAAAATAATGCATCTTGCAACATATTATCTGGACCTTACATTTTTTAAGTTTTCATGTAATTACAAATATGCTTGATTTTGAACTATTTTTAGAGTTCAAAATTTAATAATTTGAGATAAAAATACATTTTCGAGCATCTTATGATGGTTTAAAGGTGCACTATACTTTGATTGTTTAAGTTTGCAAATTTATACAAACCACACCCTTAAAAATTAGGACTAAAATCCATCTCAAAAATAAATTTTTAAGAGGGAACTTATTTCTACACATGAATCCCTAGGACTCATACAAACCGTGTCTAAATTGTTTTATGGTGTTAGAGAAATCCAATTTTAAATCAATTTTTATATGAAAGGACCCACCATTCGTGTTAATATGTGGCAATATACCCAATTTTTATGGAGACTATGTCTTTTTTACAATGAGGTCACAACTATTTTGTAAGCATTGGATGTTATATTTGTAAGCATTGGATGTTAAATTTGTAAGCATTGGATGTTAAATTGGAAAGCTTAGGGTGTGCTGCGACAATCTTTTTTGAACTTTGTCAGTGACACTCTTACAACTATCCGATTCACATCTTTGAAATCTGACAAATGTGAAATCTGACAGATAAAAATGATTATGACTACTTTTACGAAAAGTAAATAGTTTCTTTGTATAACTTTCTTTGTGGATATCAAATGAGACTATTTATCTTTTTTTACAAGAAAGTCAAATGCGACAATCTTTTTTGAACTTTGTCAGTGACACTCTTACAGCTATCCGATTTCACATCTTTGAAATCTGACAAATGTGAAATCTGACAGACAAGAATGATTAACAAAAGTAAATAGTCTCTTTGCATAATTTTCTTTGTCGATATCAAATGAGTCTATATATCTTTTTTTACAAAAAAATCGCAATTATTCTTAGGCATTAGATGTTAATTGGATAGCTTAACAAACAAGAATAATTGTGACCACTTTTACCAAAAGTAAATAGTCAACTTGTATACCTTTCTTTATCAATATCAAATTTTGGAATCTGGTTTAGAATCACCGTATGAGTATTTTCATAATCAAAATTTAAATTTGAGTTTTTAAATACTTAGATCTGGCAATTTGATAATTGAACAATTTCTTTTCAATCTTAATATTTTATATCTTACTATTGATTATTGAAAGCAAAACCAACCTTTCTTGTAAATAAGTAGCATTTGCAAAGTAAATGGGAGACTGGATTCCCAAAATGAGGAAAGAGGGGATTCTTGATGCTTCCTTGTAGTGTCCAATATCCCTGAATACATTGGTAGCAGGAATATTACCCAAAATAACAGTGTTCGGCCTTGTCACATGAAGTAAAATCTTGAATATAGATATCCCAACCTGCAAATTCAAGGGAAAATTTCATGACTCTTTCCTTCTTTTCAGTTAAATTGCACCTAAATTTTTAGGTAAAATAAAATACCAAAAGCAAAGGTTTCTTTTCTGGGATTTAAGGATGATCATTGCTTATTGCCTCGAGAATTATACTTCTGGCAACATTGGTAAAATGATTTATTTTTAATCTTGCCCATAAAATACTTTTTGGGTAGGTTACTCGGGTTTTTAATGCCGTTATCAAGACTAGACTAAAATAAGGCGTCCCAACCATTTGGACAACTGGACTTGTGACTTGGCCAGTCTAATACAAAATAAAAATTGAGTTGGGTTAAAAATCCATCAAATCCGATGTATGACTAATTTTGGTAAATCAGATTTGCTTGTTTTGATGGCTAAATAAGGTGAACCAATTACTCATGTAATTCATAATTTTAAACTGCACCTTTTTTTTTTCTCCCAAAAACTATTCCAATTGATTTGAACCGATTGTGAAATGAATTATGACCGGATAAAACCCCTAACATTTTTGGGTGACAAAGAACTCTAAAACGTGCTTTTTTGTTTACTTTTATTTATTATTATTATTTTGATCTTTAAACTCTAAAACATACTTCCCAATGGGCAAAGGGAACTCTCTCTCCCTCACCCACTCGTACCTAAATTGGGCCTTAACAAAAAAGATAGCATGTTTCCAACTTAATTATCTTCTCATTTTGTAAAGGTAAAGAACAGAGGGCTATACTTACAGCAATGGCAAGGCCCATTTGAACTGAGATGAAGAGAACACCAAAGAAGGCACTTAGACATGCAAAGAAATCCAACCTGTCCACCTTCCATATTTCATAAGCGGCCCGAAGATCGATGAGACCAACCACTGCTGTTATTATTATGGCTCCAAGGATGGCGTTCGGCGTGTAATGGAACAGTGGCATAAGGAAGAGCAGTGTCACCATTACTGTTCCCGCCATCACAATGTTTGATACTGCAGTTTTTGAACCGGCATTGTAATTTACAGCAGACCGCGAAAAGGAGCCTGAAAAAAAAAAATTAGTGCATAGAGATTTAAATATCAACGACATTAATGATTGATGGTGATAAGGGTGAGAGAGAGAGACCTGTGGTGACATAACATGAAGCGCATGAACCAGCCATGTTCATGAATCCTATTGCCATCATCTCTTTGTTCCCATCAACCTGGTAGTTCTTCAGGGAAGCAAAGGTCCTCCCAACTGCAATTCCCTCCTATGAATGGCAAATAAATTATTGTCAAACAAAAAAAACAAAATAATTCAGTAATAAGCTCATTTACACCACTAATGGCAAACTTGCTGTGTCATTCCATAGTCTGTGGCTTTCCTTTTAGTGAAAGCTGTTTTTCATGTTAGGGATAAAAAACTTCATGTTATTTACCCTAAAAAAGATAAAAAATTTCATGTTTGATTTAGGTGTAAATGATGGGAAATGTGCATCGGAGCCTTATTTGGTTTTGGCTAAAAAAAAGAAGCGATTCAATGCTTGGGCCAATTATGAGGAAGACTTCAAAATTTTGAATTTTTATAACATAAATAAAGTACATATTTATATTAAAATAATAAAATTTATAAAAGTAAAAAACTTTAAAATTAATAAAAAATAATACAATGAAGACAATTTCTTGCTTCAGCCAAAGAGATCAAGTTAGACCCAAACAAGCCGAAGCACAAAATTGTCTTTTTAAAAGGCAGTTTTGTGCTTTGGACGAAGAGGCTTAACCAAGCCTTAGCGGCCTCAAGCAAGCGTAATAAGTAGATGCACCGGAGCTTCGCTTCCTTCGGTCTAGGCAAAATTTTCCGAAGAGTTTGGCCTCGCGATGCGAATTTGATAACATCGATTGGGTCCAAATCACTTTTGATGCAGCACGTATGTTGCCGCAAACAAAACAAATTTAAAGGTTTTTTCACCAAAGGAGCAATATCACACACTATATCTGCAAATAAGTAAAGAGCATGTATACTATGGTCCTACTGGAACAAACTGTATATTTACTCCTTTAGACAGAAGAACTACTTGGGAGGATTTTTCTGATTTGAAATTTTGAAAACCACCTAAGGATGACTAGAGGATTATTTTTAATACAAAAAAGAACTTAGGATTTTGAGTTCTCTAACTTAGATCCCACCCTCCAAAAAATTGGAGGGTCTCTATTCCATCTTGAGACACTATTTTTTTTCAACCGCATTGAGAGTGTGATTTAGAAATCCTTTTTGTTGAGGTTAGTCTATGAATTGAAGGGGTTAGATCCACAAAATTTGGAGCCCAATATACTCTTAGATGGGGTTTTACTTGAGGGAGTAAATAGGCAGTGTACTTCTGCATGAGCATGAAATCGTTTCGCTTAAAAGAAAAGTTTATTTTAGGTGTACAAGTATTCATATATGCCCCCAACCATTATACCAACTACCCTAAATGCACACACAGGTGAATTAAAACCTCCATAACTATAGACTACGTAAAAATTATTGAATCCTCACTACACATCCATGACTAAAGGAGATGAATCAGTAGCCTAAAATTTTTCATATCCAACTATATAAAATAATAATATGATATTTTAAGGTGAGGATTTGATTTGATTTAGTGGGAATGGGATCTAGGTACAAGTGATCTGGGTGGCTGGTTCCACAACATGACATCCATGTTAAAATATTAATTTTTTTTACTTGATCTTGCTTTCAATCTTATGCCATTCTTGCTGACACCACCCCACTAATACTTCTTGCTGACACCACCCCACTAATACTTCTAAAAAACTAACTTCTCAACTATTTGAAAAAATGGGTAAAGGCCTAACTTCTTCACTGAATTACCCAAAAAATATTGAAAAAAAGTAAAATAAGGAAGTGTTCTATATTAAAGGAGCAATATGAAATTCACAATAATATTAGGACTCCCCCAAGGTTTCTTTACATTTTAATATATCTGGCATGCAGCCTTATGACCTTTTGATACATCTCTCTCAATACCCTACAAAACAAGAGAAGGAGATAGAGAAAATTAATAATATACTAAATAAACTTGAGCATGTGTGCCTATTAGGTGGTGCTTTGAAAATTTCTTTGAGTCCTTTGTGCGATTAGGGATGGATTATGTAAGAGATAAAATCAAATTAGGAGAGAGGATATAAGAAGTACATAAACATAATGGAGTGAAGAGAGGGAGAGCAGAAAAAAATCAATTTAAGTTTATTTAAATTAATAATAAATATCCTTGCCCTTTATTATTAACTTTACCCATGCTATGTGAAATGCAATCCCCAAGAAGAATGTCCTTCTCTTATTATATGTAGATTTTCCACTTAGCCCTTAACCAATAGCCAAAACTCTTCTTTCTAAATAGTAAATAATACCTAAAGGGAGGGAATCGGCTCAAGGAGGTCATGGTAGGGTACTACAACATGACGTATTAAGTTTTATTCTTATCATGGGTAAAGGGCTCATTCTTACCAGGCCAACAAAAAAAAAAAAAACTCCTAAGGGGCGCGTTTCGTTCATATGAAAATACATTAAAAATTCACTCATGTGATGAGGTGTTCATGTGATGAGGTGTTAAAGTATTGGTGTGAAAATATTCTCACATTAAACAATATGAAAGAATTTTTTCATGTGAAAATATTTCTTAAAAAATATTTTCACACGAACCAAACATTAAATCAAGATAACGTTAAAATGACAAAGAGTTCCAATATTTTTTATGGTGCCCCTAAAGTATGAAAAACATTTTATTTTAGCAAGTCCTTTCCATTAGAGATTGCAAAAGTTTCAATGAATGAGAGAGAGAGAGTCTTGTACTTACTGTTAGAGATAAAATCCCAGTCACAATCCCAGTTTTGATAGCAAGGCCTAGATAAGGACCATGAAAACACAAAAGGTTTGTTGAAGGTGGATTCAATCCTTCTTGAAGTTGTCCAATCTATTCACATTTTTATGCAAACACAATCAGATTGCACTATCCATGATACACCATATTTTTATGTCAAATTGCAAATAAAAGGCAATTGATAATAAAGTGAGCCTCTAAATTTTATGGGTGGGATTTTTTCACTTACTATAGAGATCCCATGATGCTGAGCTTTGAATATGTAGACCAACAAAGTTGAAAGAATAACAGAGAATAATGGTGCTGCTGCTGAAACCCAGAACAGGTTTGGTTTCCTTGAGCTCTGCAAAAATAGATTATTTAGAGAGAGAGAGAGAGAGAGAGAGAGAGAGAGTAGTGTTAGTTAAGAGTAACGAGGTAACTATAGTGTCGTCGTCGTACGTACGAAGTAACGTAACTAACCGAAAACGACGAACGAACGACCTAGTAG